ATCCTCCGATTTCCCACCTCCCACCCTCCCACCTCCCACCTCCTGCGAGGTGGCAAGTGGGAGGTGGGAGGGTTGGAGGTGGGAGATGGGCGGTGGGAGGGTGGGAGCGTGGGAGGTGGGAGATGGGAGGGCTACGGTAACGGGCAAGTTCGATTCGATCGATTCGATCGTCGATCCGATTCGATGCCGGTGTTTGCGGTTGGTTGGTTGGGCATGTATCGAAATGCGCTACGTGTATTCACAACAAATTGTTGGTTCCATACAGTTTCTCCAGATTGGCTTTTATCGCGTGGTAGCTTCTCAAAGTAACTCTCCGCCATTTATTCCAATATAGCCTTGTACTCCACTTCGAGTGCCTCACAATCATACAGGTCCCTTGGGTACTCCTAACCCCCCCATTTGAGAATTTTTTTTGAGACAAGGACGTCGCCTGCAACTTGAACCAGAAGCATGGTGGGTAAGGTTTAAGGTTCAGGGTTTAAGGTCTGCGAGAGGAGGCTTACAAGTAGCCAGGGGGCAAATGTTCCAGAAAGTTGGAAGATCCCTGCGGCTCATTTCACGTCAAAGATCTCTACCTGTAACCCAAATTCCCTACAGCTTCATAGTAAGTACTCTTTAATTAGCAGGTATGAACCCCATAAAACTGTCGGTGGCTTGGGTCACGGATACACCCAAAACCCAACTGGGTAGTTCCCAAAATTAGGGCCCGGCTCTGGTACCCCTAAATCATAGGTGCCGTAAAATGAGGGTTTGCCAAAATTAGGGGTACCATTTTGGAGGTCCCCAGAATAAGGGGTCTATATTAGGGTCCCCCTCTTTTGGGAAACTACCATATAATCTGTAACCAAGAGGGACCCAAACGTTTTGAGAACAAACCAACTCATGCTGCTGGAAGCAGGCCAGTTGGGCCAATGCTCGCTCAAGGCATTGCGCTGAGGCACCTGTCTTCCTTCCCTTGCGGCTTACTGGGCACAAGTAAGGCAAAAGGGGATGGAATCCTTGTATAAACGCTACATCATATTTTCCCTTAACCACCCCCCAACTGGCCACCAGCAGGTCTAGAGGGGAAGGATTTCACCTTTTTTTTGGCAATTGTTTGTTTCAGGGTGCATGGTTTAAGAACAGGGGTTCTCAAAAAGAGGGGTTCCTGTGTACCAAACTGACATGGAAGCCTACAAGGAGCCCTGGCCCTACACAAACTGCTGGTCTTCTCAAGAGTTGCCTATGGGGGGGGCTTATATGAGCCATAGTCTATACTCCTAGTATCCCCCTTAATAAGCTCTCTATCCCCTATAGAACCCCCCATGAGGGAGTTTAGCTCATATGCCAGTGGCTCTATAATGTTCCCCTATATAACCCCCATCAGGGAGTTTAGACTATAGCTCATATGCTAGTGATGAATGGGGAAGAATGCCAAGGAAGCTTGTAGATTGGTCCACAAGGATGGATGTAACTTCAGCGTTGATTTCCTAGTTTCAAGACACAAGCCTTATTGCTACCTAAGAAGTTTGAAGCAAGTTTTAAGGGTTGCACCCAAACTTCAGCTTTGGCATTTGGCATCTCTGCCAGCCCCTAAGACAAACATCCTAAAAAAAGCAGGTCCTCGCTGTATTCATGGTTTCCCGACTTGAGCACCCCATGAACAGCCATTAGTTCATGCTCACCAGCATCATGAAATCTCCATGCAGC